TCCATGGAGAAGCCACAGGTGCTAATGGAGGTTTGTGCGTATGTAGTTTGGGCCCTTTTCTTCTTTGCCGAGCTGCCGGCGGTTCCCCCTCCCACCCTGCGTCTCCTCGGCTCCCCGGGATAGCGGACCCCCTCGGCAGCAGCCCCTCGGCGGCGGGGCGGGGGTCCCCGCGGAGCCCGCGCCAGGGCAGGCCTCCAGCAGCTCCCTCCCGCGGTCCCGCGATGCCTGGGCCCCCCCTCTCGAGCTCCCCTCCCCCACCCCGAGCGCCCCCCCTACCCCGCCCCCGCGAGCGGCGCGTGGGCGCGGGACCCCGCTGCTCGCCAGGGCCGGGGCCGCCGGGGGGCGCGGGCTGCGCGGGAGGCTGTGCGCGGGGTCTGGGTGCAGGGGCCCGGCCGGGCAGAGCGGGCGGGATCCGGGCGGCGCTGGCGGGGCGTGGGCACGGCGCGGGAGGGGAGGTCCGCGCCGCCCCGGGACCGGCTTGCGCCACTGGGGGAGCTGCATCTCTCCGCGCCCCGGGGCGGGAAGGGTGGCCCGGCGGCGGGGGGTCGTGGCGGCGAGCTGGGCCCGCGAATCTGGCCCGGGGACTGGGCCGGCCCGTACCTGATCTTGAAATCCCAGTTATAAACGGTCCGCAGCCGCTCGCGATCTGTCTCCATGTCCAGTCCCCGAACGACCAGGAAACTCTCGAAGCACTGGCCCGTCTCCCGGAGCTGCCGGCAGCTGAACTTACTGGGCATCGCGGCGGCGGCGGCGGCGGCTGCGGCCCAGGCAGGAGGGTCCGTGGAAATGAAACTGAAAGTCGCCGCCGCGGATGTAAGTTGGCGGCACCAGGATGAGGGTGCAGCAGGGAGAAGCCCCCTAACTCTGACCCCCTGATCTTGCAGGCTCCCTTCTCCCCAACAGGCTTCCCTCCTCGGTTCTTTCCCTACCTGAGTCTTCCCTTCGGTCTCTCCGTGCAATCCCCTCCCCCTCCTCCCATTAACTCTTTCCTAAGGAGTCTGACCCCTCCCTCAGGGCCCTCCCCTTACCCCAAGCTCCCTCCCCTGGCTTCGAGCCAGAATCAGAACGTGGCTACCGCCTGGGGCCCCCTGAGCAACCCTGGGAGACTTCCGAGCCTCAGCGAGGGCTGCTCCCACGTCCACCCCCCCAGGGCCTCGGGACTTATTGAAAAGCAGGAGAGCAAAGGGCAGGGTCTGGGACCTGGGTTGGCTGCAGCTGGACTGGGGCAGCTCATCCAGCACCTCCCCCAGACTGCTAGGGACAGAAACCAGTACGGAAGCGAGCGGCACGCCCCCCTCCCCCATTCTCCCTCCTCGAGGTTTCAGACGCAGGGAGGAAGGCATAAGAGCCAAAGAAGTTCGGGGGAGGCGGGGGAAGAACCAGTGTCTCAGAGATAAAGGTGTGTACGTGTGGGAGGGAGGGACCAGGGGCTCCGCCAGCACCGAACAGTCCTTACTTTTCTCAGCCACACAGGTTTTGTTTTAGGGGAAAGGCCGGTGATCCCTGCCCTTGAGCCACACATATTTGGGCACTTAATTGCATCCCAGTCTGTATTGCTCTTTAATTGCTACAAGTATAGAAGCAAGGGTTACCCCAGTCATCAAAATATCAGCCTGAGAGCAAGAGACTGGTCTCTGACGCAATAAATGGTTAATAGCTACAGCATCAGTACCAGGAAGAGAAGTAAAAGACCAGCGTGCCTCAGAAGACAATTAGACAAACTAAAGGGGGTGGGGCTCCCACAACAAACATAAAACCAGCCTCTGCATCTATTTATGCTCCCCCATAACAAAAACACACCAACTAGAATGGGGCCAAGAAAATAAGTTATATAAAAAGATTCTTTAAACAAATATACCAGAGTTCCAAAAATATCAAAGGTAGTGTTGTTCTCCAAAGTAATTCCCTGTAGGAGGCCACACATTCAACATAACCTAGTGTGAGGAAAGTCCAGAACCCAGGCCACTCTCCAGCTGGGCCACTCTTGTACCTTTCCCTCAGGCCAATAACCAACTAACGCCAGGAATAACAGATTTTAGCAACAGGAAATGCAAAGTCGGTGGGAACCAAAGCTAAGAGGAAGAGGAAAACTGGCCAGGGGAAATTGTCTTAGGATTTGTGTCTTAGAAATTGTGCAGAGTAGAGGGAAACACAGGACAATCGCCGATTTCACTTTTTTCTCCCAAATTACCTGGTGAGGTCTAAGAGTAGTAAAGGGTGAACCTCTTAAAATCACCTTGTTACTTACCATTTCAAAAACCTATCATCCACCACACCCACGCTGAATGTTTGGTTCCATGCTGATGAGTAAATCGAAGTCCCCATTATTCCTGGATATCTAACACCACCACCCCTCTCTACCCCCTCCCCCAAACCTTAGGCCTGTCTCCTAGATGTTATCAAAACATGCAGACAACTGTAGTTTATATAATACCAACTTGAGTAAAAATATGTTATGTGGCCTTGGTTACAAGGGACCCTCTCTAAACCAGTTTCATCTAGAAAAATACACGTCACGTGGGATTGTAGTTGTTATCACATATGGCTGTCTACATGTCTAGAATGGTCTTCCTTTCCATCTTTCACATCCAGCTCAGGTCTCACTTCCTTGAAACTTTCCCTGAAATCATCTGTGCTTGTAAGAATCTGACTTTAAGTGGTTGATTTTAGTACGGGTCCAAATAACACTGAAGGCACTCTGAAAGTTAACTTTGGCCAATGACGTTACTAGAATAAACCTATAGCCTCCCAAGATGACTTTGGAGAAGAATATTAAAAGCTCTATATTTTCTTTATTACGTCTCATTACTCCATAGTCACTTGGGTTTCACAATTAAACATTTGAATGCTAAGTTCATGTATTCCAACTAGACAGTCCTTAATACAACTAGAAATAGCCCTTACACTGAATGCTGAAATTGGTTAGAGGCTGTGGCAGGTACAGCTGACCCTCGGTATTTGCAGGTTATGCATTTGCAAATTCACCTACTCCCTTAAATTTACTTCTAACCCCAAATCAATTCTTGCGGTACCTTTGTAGTCATTCATGGAACCATGCAGAGCAGCTAAAAAAAAATTGAGTTGCCCAACGTGTGTGTTCCCAGCTGCAATGGAACAAGGTCATGTGCCGCCTTCTCCTTTCAGCTCATATTATGAACAGGCATCCTTTTTGTGGTTCATACTGTGGTCACATTTTTTACATTTTTGTTTTTTGTTGGTGATTTCACTGCTTAAAACGGCCTCCACACCTGTGTAGTGCTAAGTGCTATCTCGTGTTCCTAAGTACAGTGCTGTGATGTGCCTTATAGAGAATATTCCCATTAGATAAGCTTCGTTCGGGCATGAGTTATAGTGCTATTGGCTGGAAGTTCAATGTTAATGAATAAACAATGTATATTAAATGAGGTGATTTAACTAGAAACACACGTATGAAACAAGATCACGTATTGACCTCTTGACAAAAATGTGGCCATTTATTCCCAAGCACCGGAACCTGTATTCCCTGAGAAGCACTATTTCCTATTTGCCAACTCATGTATTTGCTGGCAACAAACTACTGTGAATAATGAGAATCAACAGTATATTCATATGTGTAGCAGTGCTTTTCAGTATATTGGATTTGACAAGGCATGATCTTGGTTACTGCTCTCGGAGAGCTAAGATCTACCATGTCTTTTTATAGCTACTCTGGTTCAAGGGAAAATTTTTGTTAGCTCAACTTATAGGACCATCCAGTTTTGTTGTTCTATATTTACCAATCCTTTCTTTCTTTGATTTCCCAAGCAGCAGGTAGCTTCGTTCTATATGAGATTATACATTTATAAATTGACATTCAGATACACATCAGTCTTTTGTGAGTTTGGAGAAAATGTGCCAAGGTTTGCCAAGTAGCTCATGAACACAGAGGAGTCCAGCCTCCAAGCTCTACATTACAGAAGAGAATAGGCACTGGAACAAGGCAGCTGAGAGCAGCACAACTACCCAGGCTTAAAGAAAACCAATAGTTTTCAGCAGTGTAATTTCAAATCCAAATATAGGAGTGAGGCCTCCCAGAAAACTCCTTTCCATCTGACTGAGAAACCTTTGCCCTAGGATACCATAGGCTGATTTCAGCAGCATGTTATAAAAAAGATACAATTCAAGCAAATATTCTGCTGAAGGAAGTTAAGTCAGGTCTCTGCAGGACTTGGCAAGGAGGGCTCACTTCCTCCCGATTATACAACTACCCAAGGGTTTCGATGGCCAAAAGACTGATAATAAAGTTTTTACAAAAGGCTATACGGGCTAGGGAAGTGGATGGGATAGGCTAGGGGCAGGCTGACAGAGTTAATGAGTTAAAGGCAAAGGCAAGAACGTTTGAATCTGTTTGCACTACAAGTACAGAGTGTAGTACAACAAATATTCCCTGAAAAGGTGGGAATTTAACTGGCTGTAGATGCAGTGTGAACCACTGAAACTCCTCTGTTTCTTAGTAACCAGGATAAAAGCCTTTGCCTCATGTCTGCAGCGAAGTCCGATTTGCATGGAAGGAAAGCCGCATTTAGAGTGAAGTCAATGTGAAATATCACCCAAGTTCAAGGTACAGGGATTCTTTCAGTTCTACTTCTTGCCTAGTGACTAGAACCGTACTTAGGCCTTGCTTTCTCAATGTCAGACAGAAAAGATAACTAGAAATGGAAAACCAAAGCAAAACCTTTGAACCATCTGCAGCCTCTGAGTGAAGAGGCTGTGTTATCCATAGGGACATTGCTCAAACTTTAAAAAAAAAAAAAAAGAGCTGTTCTTCCCAAGTTTTTGGATAATCACTGAATCTGTAACAGTTCAGAAACCCTAAACATCATCCCCAATTAAGACCAAACACAGTTCTATCTTACCTTGAGAACAAAAACTGAAGAGATGGATTGAAAAGGAGAGACTCAGACAATTTAAGAACAAAACAGGTATATTTCTATTGGACTACCTGATACAGAGGATAGTGTGGTATGAATGGATAGTATGAATGACACATAATACAAATATATTTTATTTGAAATAAACAAAAATGCTTACATAGCTCAACAGGTCACTTGGAAACAAACCTGCTTGACTGTATTACTGAGCAAAAACAAAGCTGAAGCACAAACACCCTTCTTTGTTGACATGTATTTGGATAGGTAGGAAGACACTACTTGGTTTTTTAAAAACTGACCTTCCCTTAAGGCCTGGTCATAGAAGTGTAAACAATGTAAATGAACCCACCATTACCAGCTGTCATATCATATCTATGTCACCTGTGTAGTCTGAGATCACACATATACCTGCCAATATACCTGGGAAGGGTTGCTGTATCACAGTTACATTTAAGTTCTTGGCAGGCAGGACTGAGGAAAAGTAATTTGGAACAAGTTTTACATCCTATTTGGAACAAATCACTAGTATTTCCTTAAATAACAGGTTACAATAGAAAGATACTGCCTGGAACGTATCCTTTTCACTTTGGTTCATTTTTTTGTTTTAGTTTGTGATTTACATAGTTGTTTGAATTATCTGCTTATAGTACAATCCTGCCACAAAGTATTAAAGCACAAGATACTATTATTCCTTCAACATCTGCATTTTTCAAGTTTTATACTCTACTACATCCCTAGTATGTCAGCAGTTCTTGAATAATAAAAAATAATAATAAATGGGTAAAACTCTTCTAAAAATGCAGATGTCTATACCTATAATGGTACTAGATGGGAAGGAGACAATGAGGGAAGAGAAAAAAGCAAACACGTTCATGTGCAGGGAATGTGGTTCAAGTCTTTGGATTTAAAAACAAGTTCCCCAGAGAAGCTGGCTACAATGGAATTTCCAGAAAACTTCCTTTGCCCCCACAAAAGGACCTGAAAAGCCCAATCCAAACCTTTGAAAACTACAGTTATGAGATGCTATAAATGATAATCAAAGCAGTCAGAGGGAGAAGGATGAATGTGTCTTCCATTCAGCTAGTCTGTAGCATAGCCTCTTTAGCTATCGGTGGATCAGTAAAAATCACTGGAGTACCAGAAGTGCTTTGAAGGATAGGGGTAGAAAAGTACTGAGCATATTACCTGTCTATATCAATAACAGGGCTTCATGGCTAGGAAAATTTTCTAAACAGTAAAATAACTCCAGGATAGATCTCTCTCTCCATCATTAAATGTGGCAGAATTAAAAAAAAAATGTACAAGTAGATATAGTGAAAACAGAAAATTACAAGGCAGAGAACACAAAAGAATGAAGACAATGCTATAGGTTCGACAGTATTCCATGAGGCTAGAAAACCTGTTAACTTTGAAAGCCCTAGCAAAATATCAATCTTGTTTATAAATCACTTATTTTATCATATGACCGCATGTTGAATCCTTTCTTTCCACATACTGAAGAATCCTACATTCAGCCTTTAAGCATTCTGCATTTCTTTGCCAATCTTGTAGCTGAGTATCTTGTTCCAGTCGATTTTGGTGCGGGTAACCGGAAGCTGCCGGCGCAAGGCCTTGAATGTGGTGTCTGACATTGTTTGATAGTTTTCACTAATTGCTGTCTGCAACAGATAATTGAAGATAAGTTGCTTGAACAGAAATGGATGGTGATTAGGAAAGTAACTCGGTAGTCAAAGGACATGGTTGAGTCTTCTAAGAAGGACGACAGGATGTAATATTCCTAGTAAGTTCCTCTCCCATCTCTGAAGTGAGTTAAGAAGCCCACTTATATTATTTCTAAAACTAGAGCTATAATCTCTTCCAGTGTCAAAATCTTGACTGTAAGCTCAATGCCAAGTTGCAAGGTGTACAGTCTCCACACTTAGGAACAATGAACAACACATATATTTATGTTGAAAAGACAAAGAGAAGTTCTAACAAAATGTGTTAACAGCAAAAAACAATGTACTAGAGATCTAGAGAAATTAGTTCCAAATCTTACCTGATACTCATTTTCTGCATGCTCTATGATTTTAATAAACTCCTTGGCAGTCTGGACTTCATTCTAATTGAGGAAGAGGGGAAATAGGAATTTTTAAAAAAGTATAAACAGTAAATAAAAAGATACTGAAAAGATCATCTTGACTAAATTTGTATAACAATTTATAGTTTATCAAGTATTCTCATGCACATTACCTTCTTTGATTCTCACAACAACCCTGTGAGGTAGATCTGTTCTTATCATCACCTTCATTTTCCAGATGAGAAAACTGAATCCTCATAAGTGACCAGACAAACATTATACAGCTCTTGAGAGATAAAGATGGGATCTGAATATAAATCTCTGCCAAAAGACCCCATGCTCTTTTCAATCTACCACAGTTTGGCCCCAAAACATCATCACGATGTCTTGAAATGTTTATGCCTAGAAAATATCTCTGGTTTAAACATTTTTTTTAATGTTTTTTATTTATTTCTGAGAGAGACAGCGTGAGCAGTGGAGGGTCAGAGAGAGAGGGAGACACAGAATCTGAAACAGCCTCCAGGCTCTGAGCTAGCTGTCAGCACAGAGCCCGACGGGGGGCTCGAACCCACGAATGGTGAGATCACGACCTGAGCCAAAGTTGAACGCTTAACCGACTGACCCACCCACATGCCCCGAAAATATCTCTGGTGTAAAATGATATAAACAATGTCATCACCAATATCAGCCGTTCATGGTGAACTCATATACTCCTCTATCTGCTACTTGTGATGCTAAATCAACCAATCACATTTTGCCTTACATGATTCAGGTACAATATTAACTGAACGTATCCTTTTCACTTTGGTTCACTTTTCATTCTCTCTTCATTTCATCATTAGATACAACAGAATGAAAGGTAAAAGCTAAGATTTACTGCCGAGGGCAGCAGTCCCCAGAAATGTTCAAATGGTCAAAACCATCTTCTGTTTTCACAGCAATGCTAAGACAAGTCATTTGCTTTCCCACTCTCTCAAGTGTGCATAATGCAGGTCCACAGAAGCTACAGGCTGTGTGATGTGCGATGGCTTCATCACTCTGATGGCTTAACGCAATGTGTGGGCACAAATGGGAATCCAGTTGTCTTTTATTAAGTCAGACACTAGTTTGTAAAACTGTAAACGAATGCCATTCTTTGTACTAATTTTTTTTTTGGTTTGGAAAAGATAGTTGCTTTTCATGAAAATGTTATTCAGGTCAATAAGTAATGGGTTTGTTACTGTTATTTTAAATTAACAAATACATTTAACATTTGTTTTAATTTCTAATAAAGTAAATGTAGATATAACATACATAAACAAAGTTAGCTGGGTTTTTTTTGTTTTTATGTATAATTTTTTTTTATTATAAGCTCTACACCCAATGTGAGGCTTGAACTCACGATCTGGAGATCATGACCTGCGCTGAAGTCAGATGCTCAACTGACTGAGCCACCCAGGCGTTCCAGAACAATAATTTTTAGGAATATTCCTAAAAGTGTTTGGCTTTTCTAGTGATATGAATGTAGCCCTATAAGATTTGTTGGCAAACTTTCCTTCCTCATAGTATTTACTGACTGAAGATATTGCTGTCCTTGAGTAAATCTCACTACTGAAACAGAGAAAGATATTTGAATAAAGCCATTATCACTATTTGACATTATATCATGTTATGTTACATTTAAGTTATATTACATAATTATTACATTTAGTCAAAGACTGCGAACTAATATAGCTGGTTGATTACATGCTTTTTTATAAGCTGCCAAAATGAAAGCATTGAAAACAAACTGAATTTCTAGTGGCAGAATCAGTACTCAGGATCAAAATCAAAATTTTTTTTTATCGTGGGTAGTTTTTTTAATTATCTTTTTTTAAATGTTTATTCTTGAGAGCGAGAGAGACAGAGCACAAGCAGGGGAGGGCAGAGAAAGAGGAAGACAGAATCTGAAGCAGGCTCCAGGCTCTGAGCTGTCAGCACAGAGCCAGACATGGGGGTTGAACCCACGAACCGTGAGATCATGACCTGAGCCGAACTCGAATGCTTAACCAATTGAGTCACCCAGGTACCCCAGGATCAGAATCAATTTTTGAAAGAAAAAGAAGACACAAGTGAGACACATTAAATACTCCACACTCACCGAAACAGTTACTGAATCCTGTACATCTTTATGACTAACCAACTGAACATTGCCATCTTCATAATAGTGAACCTGTGTGAGACAATGATTGAGCAAATTTATGCATAGTTCATATAAAAACCCACTGCCAAGGTACAATACATATCCATGCCTTAAGCCACTCCTAATCTCTCTTTTTTTATGCCATCCTCAGTCCTTTTTTTTTTTATGTTTTATTTATTTCTGAGAGAGAGAGAGAGAGACAGAGAGAGAGAGAGACAGAGGGAGAGAGACAGCATGAGCAGGGGAGGGTCAGATACAGAATCTGAAACAGGCTCCAGGCTCTGAGCTAGCCATTAGCACAGAGCCCGACGCAGGGCTTGAACCCACGAACCCGGAGATCATGACCTGAGCTGAAGTTGGACCCTTAACCGACTGAGCCACCCAGGTGCCCCTATGCCATCCCCAGTCTTTACCAACTCTGAAAAAAAACATTAGTATGATCAATTATAACTTACAACAGTGGTTAAAATTCACAGAACACTTTAAATTTTATGAATTCTCACTTTTATATTTTAGCAGGAGAAATTGATTTTTAAGTTCAACAAATATTTATTATGTGCTTATTGCATTCTAGGCACTGTGTTAAGTATTGCAAATACAAAGATCTTAAATGAGATTCCAGTCTTAGCAGTACTAAAAGAATTAAAATAAAATCACTGAACATTAGTTTTTCTCTGTGAAAACCAAGGAATTTTCATGGATCCTAATTCCTTACACATCTCTCCATATATATATATAAAATCATCAATATCAATATCGGTAAGTAGATCTGACCAAGTACAGAAAAAACTTACTTGACAGTTAATGACAAACTGAAAACACAGATATTCTACTGGTAAATTATACTACAAAAAAGCAAGACAAAAGCAGTTCTGAGGATATACGGTAAAGTGGGGTGCTACAATTATGACACCTGTTATCAAAAAGGAGGGATATACAAGAGACAAACTAAGCAAAGACACAGAAGACTCAGAAAGTTTTGACAACTTACAAGATAGCTCCAGTCACCTTAGCAGGGCTACAAACTGGTCATATAAAATAGGATGAGGGTATCCTTCTGTTAAGTGGATTTGAATGAGGTTTTGAAAACAGGAGGTGTCATCTAAATGGACAAGTAGAGAAGGGCATCTAGCAAGGGGATGAGAAAAGTGTAAGAGAATGCTTTAGGGAAGAACAAAGAACTCACTGCAGAGGAGTTCAGTGTGGAGGGGAGTGTAGCAAGAGACAGCGCTATGAAGCAAGCTGGAGGCAGTCTGTGAGGCAAACTGCCTTATACACCATGTTAGGAATCCAGACTTTAAAGGTGATCAGGACTCAGGATCTTTAGAAAGATTACATTTGTGCTTAGAGATAAAGCAGAAATAAAGAAGAAAGGAACTATATACCTTGCACTACTATGACTATTATTTATGGAGTCCTTACTATTATGTTAACACTATGCAAAATATTTTAGTTATTACTTATATGATCTCACTCAATCTTTACAAAAACTCTGAAATAGGGGCCACTGTTATTCCTATTTTACAGATGAGAAAACTGAGGCTTGAGGCAGTTTAATAATTTACCCATGTTCACATATCTAGTAGGAACAGGAGCTAGAATATGAATTAGGTTGAATTCCAGAACTCAAACCATATCTAACATGCATAATATCTCCCACTGTTAAGTTTCGTCAAAAAGTTAGAAATTCTCTGAACCAGGTAGAAGTAAAGTGTCTCATTAGGGACTTAACTCTTCTAAGATATCATTAGAGGGGGATTAAAATAGCCAAACCTTCATGAGGCAGAAACCATGATCCTATTAGCAATAAAAGGACTTCCCTGGGCAACTTGAATGCACTACAGAACCTCGTTTAAGGGAACAAAAATGGCTGGCTCTGTCCAGACGGGCAAGAGAAACCACACATTTTCCATATCCCCTCCAAACCCTTCAACTTCATCTTTTGGCTTTCTAAAGGAGGTTGAGGAGAAAAAGACACTGTAAGAATACACTGGAAAAGCAGGGAGTTGATAAATGCCTGTAATACCCATATGCAAGAATCAGAACAGCAAAGATCTGAGGAAAAAAGACCTGGCTAATAATGACATACAAAGGTTACAGTTCCAATAGACAGTTTCCAATAGGGAAACTGAAGAGATTCCATTCTAGAAAGGCTCCATTTCTGCTGTTTCTCTAAGTTCCACTCACTCATGTTCTGTATTTTGCATCTGAGGAAACCAAAGAAGCTATGTTCCCGCTCCAAGGGAGGGCAAGACAGTTAATCATTCTCTAAGTTTCATCCTAGGCCCCCAAACACCTGCTAACTTCTAAGAAGAACCAGATCCCAATCATGTTCCAGGATATTACCTATGAACAAACTCTGGTCAACGCTGGCGTCCATACACTCTTACCTTCAGTGATTTATGGACTAACACCTATTATTCACCCGGCACTCACCTTTCATTGGACCCTACCCTGGATTCCTGAAGGAACATGTACCCTGGATCCCTTTCCAGTATAAATTCCTAACTTGCTTTTTCTTTTTTGAGTCTCCCAGACATACCATCTGTTGTACTCTATCACTTATGCCATTCAATGAACTCTGCTCTCACTTTCTCCTGGCTCAAGTTGGATTTCTAGCCTATGTGAAGCTAAGAACTCTTGGTCCTGTGGGGCGCCCTCTAAGTCTTTAGATCTGGCCTGCCCACATTACATGGACAAGGATGTTCAAAATACAGGTGGGTCACACCCAAACCCTAGTTTTGTTTGATCACTTTTTAACGAAGAAGCTGCAAGTCCAGAGGCTGAAAAGAACACTAGGAAGAACAGTGAATATGAACAGGATGAGGGATATTTAGAAACAAAAGCTCTATGGGGAGGCACCTGGGTGGCTCAGTCAGTTAAGTGTCTGACTTTGGCTCAGGTCATGATCTCGTGGTTTGTGTGCTTGAGCTTTGTGTTGGGCTCTGTGCTGACAGCTCAGAGCCGGAGCCTGTTTCAGATTCTGTGTGTCCCTCTCTCTCTGCCCCTCTGCTACTTGTGCTCTTTCTCTCAGAAATAAGTAAACATTAAAAAAAATTTTTTTTTAAACAAAACAAAGCTCTGTCCAGAAAAGAAACAAGGACTTATATATTTGAGACTGGCATCTCAGAACCCATTTGAAGGAAGGAATTATGCAGGGCACACCATTTTTGTCCAAGAATAAAAGCTATGCAATTGGTTTGAGTTTCTATCACATTCAAATTTTTTTATGTTTATTTATTTTGAAAGAGTGTGTGAGCAGAGGAGGGGCAGAGAGGGAGAGAGGGAGAGAGAGAGAATCTTAAGCAGGCTCCGTGCTGCCTACACAGAGCCCAACTTGGGGCTCAAAATCACAAACTGTCAAATTGTGACCTGAAAGGAGATCAAAAGTTGGATGCTTAACCTATTGAGCCACCCAGGCACCCCCTATCATGTTTCTTAAGAAATGGGACATGAATAGTCTTGCTGTTTATAAAAACTCAACTGAAAATTCTAAAACTGTTGATTTCATTAACACACAAATGATAACATTTTTATTTATTTTTTTAATGTTTTATTTCTGAGAGAGAGAGGGAGAGAGAGAGACAGCGTGAGGAGGGGAGGGTCAGAGAGAGAAGGAGACAAAGAATCTGAAGCAGGCTCCAGGCTCTGAGCTAGATGTCAGCACAGAGCCCGATGTGGGGCTCAAACCCACAAATCGTGAGATCATGACCTGAGCCGAAGTCAGACGCTTAACCAACTAAGCCACCCAGGCGCCCCACAAGTGATAACCTTAAACTCTGTTTTTTCCTTATTAAAAAATTCTTTAAAAAATATTTTATTTTTAAGTAATTTCTATACCCAATGCAGGGCTTGAATTACAACTTGAATCGAGTTGCATGCTCCACTGACTGGGCCAGCCAGACGCCCCAAACTCTGTTTTAAAACAAAACTCTTTTTGTGGGGTTGGTGGTGAGAAGGCAGGGAAGGGAACAAGCCATTTTACTGAGGTGCTTGGGGGAGGAGTCAAAGGGGTGGGAGGAAAATGAGATCGGACATCCTTGCCTTGGCCAGGATCTCCCCAGTTTCAAAGTTGCCAAAAGCAACAAAACCTTTCTAGGTCTCATCCGCTAATAAAAATTTCAACATGACCATCATCAACATAAATCCTCAGAAACTGGTGACTTCCCAGAACTACCCTTTTGCCTACAGAATAACCAAAGGTCTAAATATCTTAGTGACTTTTCCAAGTAGTTCTCACTCTGATTTTTAAAAGAGCTGTAAAAGAAGCAAGTCATTCTCCAAGGTGTGATCAGACAATCTGGTTAAAAGGTATACAGGAGGTCTGGGCACTGGCCCGTTTTAAGGCTTATCAGAAACTATCACCCTTTATGATATGTACTCTTAATTTATAGGTTTGCATTGGCAAAGCTGAAACACAAGCAATTATTTCCTTCTGGAAGAAAAATCAAGTTACCTACATAAATTTATAGTAAGCTGCCAGGTTAATGCTGATGCCATAGTTACAGGAGAACTAACGCATTACTCCTATATATATGATTGAACAGAAATAGGGCATATATGTTGTCTTGGATTGAGCTCCCCCAGAAGCAGACCTCACGATTAAGATTTGAGAGGAGGTGGCTTACTTAGGAGGTAAGACTTAACACAATACAATACAAGTATGATTAGGTACTGATCTCAGTTATCAGTAACTGTTTAATCCCGAGAGTTAGCTGGGCTTAAGAATTAAATCACTCTAAATATGAAAGTCACACCTTTGTTAGGATATCAGGAGACTTTGATCCAGACAGGCATTCATAAGCTTATTCCTTATTCACCTATCTGTTCTGACACCAGCATTAGAAATCTATTCTGGTTACTTATATTCCATACATGAGGACAATGGCCATTCTCTGTAGTTCCTCTGTGTTATTTACTTGATAATACAACCTTCCGTCATTACTATAAAAAACAAAACAAAACAAAAACCCCAAAACAATCCCACTCATGTAGCTGTCTTCAAAGCTAAGAATTAAGTTTTATGTGTATATGTATGTACAAACTCACATGGGCTACCATACACAAGAGACTCTTAGTAAGTTACAGCAGCTGCTATTTAGTCACTTTTTGATAATCATTTATTTTCTTCTTTCCTAGAACTACTATTTGATAATTCCTGGAAAAATCTTGTTACCTTTGGAAGAGAAAAATAATAAGCAAGCAGTACATGCCACATGACTATCCTTTATCAACCCAGAATAGCTCTGTTTAACCATTTCCCCACGAAGGAGGCTTTTTTATTTACTATCATCAACCTCTCTTCTGCATCTACATATAGTTGTTCCTTATTTCTAATACCAGAACAAATACCAACTTGCATGTTTGTTTTCAAGAGGTGACATTTTAACATGGCCTATTAGCATGTGGGGCTCTCACCTGAATCTTAAGTACTCCAACCACCTGGGCTGTAGGTGGTGTGATGGTGAACTTCCACTCTGATCTCCAACGACCATTCCTATTAAAACACACACAAAACTGCAGAATTAGCAATAAGCACAACAAAGAGGTGATCTGCTGCTGACAGAATTTGGGAAAGAGGGGGAAAAAAACCCAAATCATTTCCAGTTTGACAAATCCAAGGCTCTGTCTACTCAAATACAAGTTTGTATCCAACTGTCTAAACATAAGTCTTTTAAAAAGATACTGTGACTTTCATTTTTCAATCTTGGAATAGAAAACCATGCTTATACTATTCATGGTAGGCTCTTCCACAGACGGATGCGCTGCTGAGTTCTGCAGTTAACACAAGTATTATTAGCTAAACCCAAGTAAAACTCAGATTTTCCACTAGGCATTTTCTCCCCTGCACCCTCTCAACCCCGCTCCCGGTCATTTTCTTAATCAATCACTTATTCTCACTCAACAGAAGAGCATTTTTTAAAAAGACAGATTATAAAATCTTAGAATTGAGTCTAAATCCCTCGTTTTGCAGATGGGGAACTGAAGCCTCTCAGACAAATAACTTATTCCAAACTAGTTAGATTAAAAACCAAGTTTCAACTATTGGTTTGTTTTCTTCCCAACAGAAGTTAAGACACAAATAGAAGAGAACATCTACTTTCTTACCAGAAGTTTTTAGGCTGAAACTGGTGGCTTTCAATACATGCAATAATGGTCTGTTGCCCATCTATAGTTTTAGCATAAACCTATCGTTAAACAACAACAACAAAAAAGTTAGCTTCTGAAAACACATTTAACTTAAACGACAAACACTGTACAAAAAGAGCGTGCTAAATCCTCAGGGGAGACAAAGAATCAGGTAACTTTCAAGACTTCGTGGGATACAAACACAGAGCAGAACATGTTTAGTTCCACAGAAGACAGTGGTACAATGACTGCAGAAGGCAGTACTGCCGATTTGAGGTAAAAGGGAGGTGACAGTTGGGCTGGGCTTTACAGGACAGGCAGAGACTGAGAAGAAATATGAGTAAACTCTTCAGACAGGAAACTGGGGGCTTGTTCAGTGAATGGCAGTTACTACTTTAGGTTCGACAGTGCGTGTGAGGTAGACTAACGGGTGATAATACAGGAGAGGAGATCTATGTCCCATAGTAATAGATAGAAGGTAAGAAGTACGGACATTATTCTACAGGCAATGGACAAGACACCAAAACAACATAACCAGGAACTATTGTTTTGGGAAAATAATTAATATTGGTATACAGGCTAAAGTGGGGGAAGAGCTGAAGTCAGGAGGCCAGAGCATTAATCTAGGCAACAAGTCAGGGCAATATCATGGGTATCAGGCTTCAGAAGCATAATCAAGTCTAACAATATACTGCAAATGAAGGGCAAAAAAGGGGAAAGAGCCAAAGTGCTTGTATGCTGGGATGACCAGAAAGATGGTAGAGTCATTAACAAATTGGGAAAGGAGGAAGTAAAGAAGAGGGAGGAGGAGCAAAGTAGAAGGAGAAGAAGAAAAGTGACTTACAGAAATTATGACTGAGGAAAAGTTTTTTCTCCTTAAGAAGAGGAGAACAAAAGTATTTCTAGGTAAAGATATATATCAGATAGAATAGTATAAGATTAAGAATAAGGATCCCCCTTCCTAAGATTCAAGTACAGTGGAAAAGAGGAAGACTGCGGAGTGTGGAAAGCAGAGAAAAAGATTTCACAGTCTTACTAATATGTGGGGGATCAGACAGATGCCTAAGGACAATGGGAATGAATTGGAACATACTATATAGAGAACATTATGGGGAATATTGAGATGAAATCAAGAATTACCAAGCAGGACAGCTCTGAGGATATAAGACACTTGGGTACAACAAACACTGTCAAAACAATTCCATGGCTTTCTGTAGCTCATTTGTTAGCAGAGACAGTGAGAAAAGGGCACAATAAGGTTACTTGGTGTGGAAGCTCTCCAAAATAAGAATGGGCAGTGTCAAATTTTAAATAGGTAACAAATGAGAAGTTGAGAGCATACTTAGGATTGCAAAGTCCATTTCTAAGAGTGTGCCATGTCTCCCTTTGCAATACCAAATGTACTTATCCACCATAATGGGTTTTCTCCGTTATTTAAAAAACAAAAAACATGTAATAATAACGATATTCAACATTTATGCAGACATTTTCCAGTCATTTTATATGTGTAATTACTTCATTCAATCCTCACAACAATCCTATGAAGTAAAAACTATTATTTCCATTTTATAGGTGACTAGAATCGAGGCAGAGATGTTAACGAATTTGTCCAAAGTTGCAGAACTAATTAAGTGGCAAGTTTAGGATCAAACCAGTTAGTATGGCTTTAAAATAAGGGCTCTTAACCAATATTCTATTATCGCAATTTAACTCATCATCATTAAATACTGAAAATATTCTAATAGATGTCTTTCTTAATCATAGTCACAATCTTACAAAGAAAAAATCATGATAGGGCCAAATTTATCATTTTTTAACATTAGTAAAAAAAAAGTCAATTATTCTTGATTAAAAAAAATTCAAATAGTTTTGACTATGTAGTGGAAGTATCTAAACTATGGAAATAGGTTTCTGTAAAAAGGCCTATACTAAAAGGTCATAAATGTGGCAATAGCTGTCTTGACAATCTGAATTTATTTACTTAGTCTAAACTAAAGATGTTAAAAAAACATTTTTTGACATAAGGCAATTTCTGATAAACAGATAAGACAAAGGTGAAACAGGATACACTGAGATTTAAAATTTTTATGCACTGGGATTTTAAAAAAGAATTTTCCATATAAAATTGTCCATTTATACCCCTTTCAAAAATGCAGAGGAAAATAAAATGCAGAAAAGCCTCAAAGAAGTGATGTTTGGCTAGCCACAGCACCCAAAGGATAAAGTAAACGTAAGAAGTAAAACATCTCTAATAATGAAGCAGGCAGATACTTAACAGTACAGAAGCCGTTGGAATAATGATCTTTCACATAGGCCCTTAGAGCACTGTCACAGGATTCTCTCCAAGACTTCAGCCCTCCATCTACGTCCTCTGGCTGGGGGTCACTTGCTTCTTTCCGTAAATGATCAAATTTAAAGGAAATTTTGTTTCTTGGATCTAAAAATCTGCTATTACCCAGGTCACCGTGTTCTGTAATTAAGACCTTCCAAAGAATAATTACAAATATGAGTAATGTAAAAAAAAGACAGTTCTTGTCATTTAACAAAACACAAAAATTCAGAAGAAGACAGTTAACTTTTCACTTATGCAGATTTCTCTTTCATATTGATTTTTCAATCAAGTCACATTTTTAAAAAATTTAATTTTTTAAGTAAACTCTATCCCCAATGTGGGGCTTGAATTCATGACCTCCCGATCAAGAGTAGCATGCTCTACTGACTGAGGCAGCCAGGTACCCCTTAAGTCACATCACATTTTTACTCTTATAAAAATATTATGTTTAGGGTTAAATAAGCTCTAAAACCACATTTCTCGATCCTATCCTTCATTTCCTGGTTTCTGTCTAATGTATTGCCAAGGTATATACTTTATACATAACTGCAAAAATAACTTATCTGTACATTTTTATATTCTTTTTTCACATATTTCATAAACCTTTTCTAGTCATTATACGTAGCATTTAAAATGGGTAATATTTGTAAAATAGAAACCCTGAAAAGATGTATCATGGATTGGTAAATTTTTTCTGTAAAGGGACAGATAGTAAATATTTTCAGTTTTTCTGGACATAGAATCAGTTGTGACTACTCAACTCTGATGTTAGCAGAAAAACAGCCATAGAAAGACAAAAAACAAACAAGCAGGGCTGTGTTCAATAAAACTTTATTTACAAAAATAAATGGTATCTGTCACACATAGCTTGCTGACCCTTGCTCTAAATTAATAAAAATCAGTTGCCTTATGAGGAAGGGGACATTTGCTAAGAATTTGGTGCATTGGAGATAAGGGTGAGAAAGAGATCTCACTTTATATATATACTTTTTCCATTTTTGAACCACATGAATGTCTTACTTATTCTATTTGCTTGTTTGTTAAGTAGGCTTCATGCCCAGCACAGACTCAAAGGACTCACAACCCTGAGATCAAGACCTGAGTTGAGACCAAGAGTCTCACACTCAACTCACTAAGGTACCCAGGCACTCCCCACCCTTTTATTTTACACAAAAACTAGCATACTATACTGTGTTTCACTTTTTCTTTAGTTTTTAAAACTTAATATATCTAGAAGATCTTTTCATAGGCGTACTCAGGGAACTTCCTGGTGTTTTTGCTTACAGTTGTATATTACTCCATTGTATGGTTGTATAAAAATTTATACAACCAGTCCTCTTATTAATGGACAGTTGGACTGTTTCCAATCTTTTGCTATTAGGAACAATACTGCAATAGATGTCTTTGTATATTCATCATGTACAAATTGTATACATGTCATGTACTCATGTGAGATAAAGTCTCTGAAGGGGGACAACTGGATTAAAGGGTAAATGTATTCATAATTTTGATAGAAATTGACAAACTGCCCTATATCACAGATACGGTGTGGTACCAAGTTACAAACACATTATCAGTAGAAATTTTAACTGGCATTTCTTTTTACCTTTTAAAAAGAGTCATTTACTGTATTCCCCTTCTGTGAAGTCTATTCCTACCTTTTGCCCATTTTTCTAATTGAACTCTTGTTATTATTTATGCAGATAAAACTCTGCATGTGTCAAGTTTCACACATTTTCCCCTAATTTGCTATTTGTCTTTTGATGTATTTACCATTATTAATAATTACATATAATTTCACATTACTGACATACCATAATATATTAATCATTTCTGAATTGAAGCAGGTTTAAGCTACTTACAATTTCCACTATCGAAAGCCACTATAAATTCTACCATTAAAAAAGTCTTCTGGTTAAAAAGAATTCTTTGGAAAGAATTCCTAGTTTTGAGATTCACGTCCTTATCACCAGACTACCCTTTAAATGGCTCTTTATAGGGGCGCCTGGGTGGCTTAGTCGGTTAAGCGTCCGACTTTCCGACTTTCGCTTAGGTCATGATCTCGCGGTTTGTGGGTTCGAGCCCCGCGTCGGGCTCTGTGCTGACTGCCAGCTCGGAGCCTGGAGCCTGTTTCAGTCTGTGACTCCCTCTCTCTCTGACCCTCCCCTGCTCACGCTGTCTCTCTCTNTTTCAGTCTGTGACTCCCTCTCTCTCTGACCCTCCCCTGCTCACGCTGTCTCTCTCTCCTAGAAATAAAACAAAAAAAAAAAAAGAAAAAAACAAAAAAAAAAAAAAAAGAAAAAAAAAAGAAATGGCTCTTTATAATGACGGTAGGAATAATGAATATGAGTATTTCCTTAGTCTTACCCTCATAAAGTTTCTCATCACAATTCTGCAACTTTAGTAACTAAAAAGTAAATATATTCACATTAAAATTTTAATCTGCACTACCTTAGTTACTATTTCTGGGCGATGTAACACTTTTCCAAGTTTGCTCTGTATTTCCCAGTTAGGTGCAAGTGGTTCATTTCTGTTGCTCACTTATTCACTGAATACTTGGTATCATCTTTAGGTATTTGAATAACCTCTTTACTATGCTTGAGGCACATATTTTCTTCTTTTTAAACCTATTATGCAAAGGTAACTTTCTTTTACAAAATTTTCTAATGTTTCATCATTACTTAAGTTATGATTCTCTTTCCATTTCCTACTAAATTTTTATATGTTAAAAAATATTTAACCTTTAAACTCCACATGGAATTAATCTAAGTGTATAGTCAGCACTGGAAATCAAAATTAGAGTAATCTCATAAATTTTATCAATTGTTTCCTTTTCCCTTCTGTTTCATGATACTTAGTTTAAGGGCTTTCTGATCCTTGCCTTGTGTCTTTGTTTGCTAGCATTAGTCTTTCATTGTTGTTCTTGCTCAGAATAATCCTGTGTGGTCTATTTTTCATAGGAATTGTATGAAATCTATTTGAAAAACAAAGTTTCCATTTATATTTCTTATTCAGATAAGCTTTCCATATTATTATACACACACACACACACACACACACATTTAATGTTTACCTATTTTTGAGAGAGACAGAGAGTGAGCGGGGGAGAGGCAGAGAGAGAGAGGGAGACACAGAATCCACAACAGGCTCTCTGCTGTCAGCAGATCCTCTGGCCTCTTCCGATCCTCTGCCCCTACCCCACCCCCCGCCCTTTAGGCACTCAATCTCTCTCTCAAAAACAAATAAACATCCTAAAAAATGCTTATGTCCCCCCACCACTTAACATTCCATAAAATGGGATGTGTCTTATACTTGATGGCACTTAGGACTTTGTCATAGTTTAACTGGCAGTATTTTCCTTAGCGGTACATAAGTACCACTTTAGTAGTACATAAAATGGTGCATCTTTCAGAGAATTTAAAATGCATTGATTCTAATACAGCTAATTTAAATATCTATTTAAAAAATAAACTGGTGGGGCGCCTGGGTGGCTTAGTCGGTTAAGCGTCCGACTTTCGCTTAGGTCATGTTCTTGCTGTTCTTGGGTTCGAGCCCTGTGTCGGGCTCTGTGCTGACTGCCAGCTCGGAGCCTGGAGCCTGTTTCGGAGTCTGTATCTCCCTCTCTCTCTGACCCTCCCCTGCTCACGCTGTCTCTCTCTCTCTCTCCTAGAAATAAATAAAACATAAAAAAAAAATAAATAAATAAACTGGCACAATTCTGTATATGTTCTTTTATGTTTTAGCTTAATATATCACAAACATCTTTCTGGATCAATACTTTAGCATATGTGTCACCAAAGGGAGTACATTCCCAGATCAATTTTTATATCACTTTTCAATGACTACGTAGCATTTTTTCTACAGATAATTAATTTAATGTTGGTTGGGCATTTAGATAGTTCCTAACTTTTCACGATTATACACCTTCCTTCAAATAATCTTTTTAATACATTTATATACTTGTTTTCCTAGGATAAATCTTGCAGATTTGTGGGTTCAAAGAAGATTCAGACATTTTTAAAAGTTTATTTATTTATTTTGAGACAGAGAGAGTGCAGACATGCAAGTGGGGGAGGGACAGAGAGAGAAGAAGAAAGAGAGAGAATCCTAAGTAGGGTCCATACCACATGGGGCTTGATCTCACAACCATGAGATCATGACCTGAGCCAAAATCAACAGTCAGATACTCAACAAACGGAACCACCCAGATGCTCCTAAGACTCTGTTTAACAAGGATTTGGTATTTAGTGACATACTGCCTTTGAAGGGCATATTAATGAATTTGCAAAGTCCTGCCATACAATGTTTATAACTATGACAATAATGGAAATATTTGCTTTGTTCCTCTATTTGAATAGGAATGCCTGTTTTTCTATATAATATAAAATATGTCTCCTGTTATTCTTACCAAGGGAATTACATACAGCTCTAAAAATCTGTATAAAACTCAATTCTTTTATTTTCACTATTCTTGCTAGGGGCAGCTCTTTTTTCCTGTCAAAGAAACTCCTGGTATTATCAGAGAGGGGAAGAATTTCCTAACATGTAAAACATTTACAAAAGCTATAAGAACTATGACATGAATTTATTCAGCATCTTATCTTCAAGACATCTGCTTTGATTTATAGGATTTCTACTACCACCCAGGCACAGCCTACTAAAAAGAACAGTCATGGGACACCTGGGTGGCTCAGTCGGTTAAGCGTCTGACTTCAGCTCAGGTCATGATCTCGTGGTACAGGAGTTCAAGCCCTGTGTTGGGCTCTGTGCTAAAAGATCAGGACCTGGAGCCTGCTTCGGATTCTGTGACACCGTCTCCCCCTCCCCCACTCATGCGCGTGCGCGCTCTCTCTCTCAAAAATAAATAAATGTTAAAAAATAAATAAATAAAATGAACAGTTATTACCTGATCTTCATATCCTTCTATCTTCACAGGCGTGAACTGATCCATGTTATACTGCGCAAATGCACTGTTTTTTAAAAAGTGAAAAAACAAAAGGGGGTGGGTGGGGAGGGAGAGAATTATACATAAAGAAACACAAAAGGTAATTCACATAATAATGAAAGAGAATGTGATAACACTCCCCAGTGCTCTTTCCTTTTTCTCTCCAGGCAACTAGTGTTATCCTAATGCCTTCCCATTTTCTGAAGAAACTCTTAACTGAGATCTCAGATGTGCCCTAAACTCTGAAACTACCTTTTCATCTCCACTCCTAAGCTCCACCAGAACTTTCCTTAGACAGTTCCCAAGTTTTAAGTAATCTGATTTTTGTGAATTACCAACAGTTTTCATCATTTAGACAGAGACTTTCAGGATTAAAAAAGAAACAAAACTCTTCAATTGATGCACTATTTTAGCAATGCTGCCTTCTTTATTCTGGACTCTCTGAGGCAGGGGAGGTAAGAGAGATCATAATTAAATGTACCGGAAGGCATCTAACACGGGCAGGGGGTGAGCCAAGAGCTGAGCATGAGTCAGGTCTCAGAGGAGAGCTTAAGACAGAAGAGATTATTTTAAAAAGGGATATGAATAATCAAAGTACATGCCTAATATTACTGTTTACTTGTCTAGTGCTAGATGTGTAAAACTGCAATTTCAATGGCTCCTTAGTACATCTTACAAAGTAAGCAAAAAGGTAAAGGGAAAGAATGACTGAGGTAAACTAAAGTCCAAGAAATTCATAACAAAGTATCAGTCTTTTTACAGATTGGCCAAGGGAAGCAGAAAAGTTAAACACCTCTTCAGCCCAAGTTTAACCTGCTAAAACACCTGCTAGACACTATTTTTAAGCAAAGTATCAAACTTTTCCTCAAAAGAAACCAAAGAAACAGATATTTAAAGCTAATCTTCAATCTTTTCAAGTTATTGTTGTGTTTTTAAAATAAATCATTTCCTTATAACACCACATTTCCATTAGTAAAATGAGTCCTAAACACTGTGGTTCTTGATAGGAAGATAAATGTTCATGGAAAGTGGATTAAATACTACATATTTATATATATATATAAAAAATTATATTTTTATAATTATAAAATATACAAATAAAATATAATTATAATATATACATATTTTTAAGAAAAGCTTAAGGAGCAGGGAGTAGATAAGTATTCCATTCTAAGATATGTTCTAAGATTATAGATTATAAATATAAACACCAAAGATAGTTAACATTTAATCCCATCTCAAGAAAATTGTATCTTCATTCTACCAATAGTGCAGACCAAAAACCTGAGATCCTCCTTGATTCTTCTTTCTCCCACATTTCACATCCAATCCATCAGTAAGTCATATGGGGTCTACGTTGAATACACATTCAGAATCTGACTCCTTCCCACCATGCTTACTACTAGCCATTCTAGTCCAAACCACCGCCATTTATCTCTGAACTACTGCAGTAAGGCTCCTAACTACTCATCTTATTTCAGTATTTGCGCCCCCTGCATAACAGCCAATAATTATTCTAAAATATAATCTTATCAAGTCATCCTCTGCTCAAAATACTAATAATTTCCTCCTCTCTTTCAGAATAAAATCCTCTCTTTAACATGGCCTACAACACCCTACTTAGTCCGGAAGTGCTGAGAATTACCAGAGAATGGTTATTATATAGTGGTCAAGAAGCATACATGAAAATCCAAGAAAGAGGATTAAATTCTCGGTTGTTCAGGTCTCCTTCATTTTATAGAAGGCAATAATGATGATTACTGAAACATTTACTGAGCCCTTACTATGAGATCTGCGGCCAAGGGATTGAAGCATCTTATTACAGGAAGAAAAACAAATTTTTCATCCCTATGGAAAAGCAAATATTTGGGCATAAGACAGTTCTCCTTTAGGAAAAATGTTCTCTGAAAACCTACAGTCTATAAAAACCAAAATATTTATAAAAATAAAGCTTTATTGTCAGTGCAATTAAAGCATCTGAACTATTAAGTACCAAATTCTACTGTTACTCCTAATTAAAAATGTGACAATAGGCTTAGGCAGCAATCACACTCCTTCGCACTCACCATCTCCTCTTTCGTACCTTATCAAATGAAGTACAGACTAGATTTATCTTGGGTAGCTCTCAAGGATAAAAACTAAAACCAGTATACGTCAGGCAAGTTGAAGAACCTGCCTTGTTAGATGGTGAATTCCTTATTCTTAGAAGCATTCAGATTGGATAATCATCTGTTGACAAAATGTAGATGTAGTTCTTTCAATGACAAGGCAGAGGACAGACAGGGGTTGAATTAGCAAATCATGAATGCCTTTTTCTACAGCATTTTATGTACCTAAGAGAATAGCATTAGAATGTATCTTCAGTGTGTGCTTAAATCAATGTGTAATGAGAGTATCATTCATGATGACAATTATAGTGATGCTGTACAAAGGTTAGGGTTTGCAGAATCTGGTCCCAAAAAGAATTCCAAAAAAGCAGCAAGGACAGGGGAGAAGATGATTGCTTCTCAGGCAGCAACTCTTAGAAGTTTTCTATAGCTAAAATCTAAACCAATTGTGTATCATACCAAATGCCTTTATGACAATTATTTGTTGCTCTGTATCAAAATCCTTGTCCTAATCGTCTCTATTCCACCTTTTCCCAGTCATTATCCTTTTCTGGTTTCCTCTTTACAACGAACTCTGGGCCAGTTAGACAGACAGTGATTGAAATAGAATTCTGTATGTAAAGGAGAATAGTGATAAAGCCAGGTAACAGAGGGCCTTGAAAGCTACACAGAGTTTAGATTTGGAGTTTAGATTTGAAGAAAACAAGCACACATCACTCTCATGTTTTTGAGGACAAGGATAAAATGAAAATGGTATTTTAGAAAGATTAATTAGACTGATGGTGATAAGGAATCCATCACTGGGTTGAATAGCCATGCTATTATTCCATGGTTAATTCTATTAGGGCACTTTTATGAGTATGTACTGTTCTGTGCCAATTTAAGATACACTCTTCAAGAGAAGCCTAATCTTTCTGTAGCTCACAATTAAAGACGAATTCCACATGAACTAAAAGGACTATAGAAGAAACCCTGACCACTCTTATTAAGCTGGGAAAATCTGGGAAAAAAATAAAAACAAAAATTAAGGTCATATATAATAAGCTTTAAGGGAATAAACAATATTGAGGGGAACATGTTTTCTCCAAGAAAAATAAAACACAACTAAAACTACTAAAACCAACTGCTTTATATTGAAGTATTTTAAATTTAGTTTTCAGGGTACAAATTTACCATCAACATAATCTATCTGATATTAAAATAATATAGAAATGGAAAAAAAATATTTAAGGGGATTTTGAAAGATACTTACTGTGCTGCCCCTTCCCTGAGGAGATTGTCATTATTAAGTAGTAGCCGGACATCTGAGGAAGAAAAAAATTTTTAAAGAAATTAAAATTCGTGCGTCTGGGTGGCTCAGTCATTTAAGCATCTGACTCTTGATTTTGGCTCGGGTCATGATCTCACAGTTTGTGGGGTCAAGTTCTGCATCAGACTTTGTGCTGACAGAATGCAGAGCAAGCTTGGGATTCTCTCTCCCTCTCTACCCTCCACTGCTCGTGTGCAAACTCTTCCTTCTCTCTCAAAATAGATAAATAAATGTTAAAAAAAAAATACCCACACTTTTAAGAGATGTTAAAATTCAAATGTTCAGTAAAGGATAAACTCCAGAAATGTTAAAAAAATAAGGCTTTGCAAAATTAATCTTCAGATATCCTGTATGCAAATGAACAGATGCTAACATTCATAGATTCGCATGTAATTATTTACGGTACAATAATTAATAACTTCTCAAGGAATCTCATAGCAAATAAAAAACATGGTTTAAAGAAAGTTACAATTAGGACTATTAATTTTGTATCTAAAGAATCCTTTGAAATGAGATTAAGAACTGGAGGCTTTTCTGTAACAGCAGACCAAGAAAGCTGGGCAAAATTCAGTCAGTGGCAGTGAAACTGCCGAACGTATTTTTCTAAGGAGAATCTAATGTGGGGCCTACCTACATGCTTTTAAAAAGCTGTATGTCAAGAGTCTATTCACTCTTATTTTTTAAAATTATTATTATTTAATGTTTGTTTATTTATTTAGAGAGACAGAGAGAGTGCGTGCGGGAGAGCAGGAGGGCAGGGCCAGAGAGGGAGACAGAATCCCAAGCAGGTTCTGCACTGTCAGCACATAGTTCAATGGGGGGGCTCTAGCCCACGAACCATGAGCTCATGACCTGAGCTGAAATCAAGAGTTGGACCCTTAACCTACTGAGGAACCCAGGCGCCCCTAGTCACTCTTCTTTTAGAAGAGGAGGGTCCTAAGAAACTACTAAGCATTAATTTCAAGAGGGAATACTAATTTAATAATGAGCCAAAGGCCATTGACTCTTGGAGCTTCTGAAAGAGGTTGGCAGAGGCCAATGTGTAGCATGCCAATAAAAACCAGTCCTCACACCACAAGTGGCTTGCCAATTCTTAATCTAATTCCTTCATATCAATTATTCTCATGATATTCCTATAAAGTCCATTCAGTTGTCAGAAATAAAACAGGGACTTCTCACTACAAAGGCCATTAGTTTGGTAAGACAAGAATTTATCTGAGCGAAATCAGCTCAATGAAGTTCAGGTAGAAGGAAAATTTCCTAAAAGCTCAGTTTTTAAAAATTTACATTTGGTCAAAATGGAAAAAGACTAGGGAAAATATGGCTATATTTGTTTATTTGTTTCTCTTGCTGTTAGTACTCAAAATCAACAAACAAGTCTATAAGGATGAATGTTCTGATTTATTTCTATTGTATTATTTATTCCTTAGAGTAAATGATTATATGTTCTCCTGGTTACTCTTTCTCAACATCATTAATTTTTTGTTTGTTTTATCATTGGAGATTATTGATTGTTCTATGGTGTGTGGGGCTCTGGGCCAACTACATATGACTATCACATAGTTCCTCTCAAGTGTGTAGCCTTCTAATGTAAAACTAGAATTTCAAAATAAATGCTTGCTAAAATGAACCAAGATACACAAAGGACTTTAAGATGAATTTAACAACTTAAAATGGGATTATAATGATTGATTTTATCATAAAGTTCAAGATGCCTCATCTACATTCTTCACTCTATATGTTAAGCAAGTGAATAGAATGGAAGTTTATAAATGTATTGGAATAGCGGTTCTCAAACTGGCTGTGACCCAGAATCACCTGGGAGAACTTGGTAAAATTGATTACCCAATTCCATCACAGATCTAATGAATAAGAAATCTTAAGAGGATGGTTAAGATTGGAATCTGTATATGTAATAAGCTTCCCAGATGCAGTCAGTTCAGCCCCAATGGCTCTAGAAAGTGTCCTGTATATACTATGAGCATGTCTTGAGTGAAAACATGGAAGAAGCTGAAGGTATGATTTATAGTGATACAAAATTATGAAAAAATTTAATCTTGTTTCCATATTCATATTACACTACTTTAAATCTTTTCTCACACAAGATAGGTATCCTAATTTATGGGTTAAGTGTATGCTTCTCAGATCTGGGTTTGAATCCTTACTCTGACACTTCCTAGCTAGGTGACATTGGATAAATTATTTTAACCTCTTTGAGTCTTGATTTCCTTAGCTATAGCGATAATGTGCTGTAAGGAATAGAAGAGACAGCAAGCACTCAATAAATACTTATACATAATTATGGAGGGCTTAAAATACTGATGCTTACTTACCATTGAACACTTCATTAAATTCCCCTGGTGGTGCATGAGTGATGAATTTAGCAGCTATGCGTACCTAAAGAGAAAGAAAGAAAATAAGAGAAGAGTAATACATAAAAGCAGAAGCAATTAACAGAGTACAAATTTTTCATCACATTCCTTGAAATAAAACTTCCTGTTTAAACCTTTACTATTTAGGAGCCTTCAGAATTTTTTCATAAACTATCCCAAAGCTTTTATCATCAATATAGGTTTGTCCTGATTTTGAGATATACATGTGGCTTCAAGTTTTAATTTTTCTTTAAAAAGTTGAGTAATCAGTTTTTGGTCAAAATATACTATAGTCACAAGGAGAGAAAGTTATGATCCTAATCACTTATGAACATTTAAGCAAAACTAAATAAAATAGTAAACTGGTAGGATACCAATTTGTGTTTATTCCAATGCAAAGGTGGTTCAGCATTAATAAATCAGTGTAATTTACAAATTAAAGGAGCAAGCCTTTGTGATTCTCTTAACTTCTGCTAGAGAAAAAAAGATAAAATTCAACACTCAAATATCACAAAACAACAAAACTACTAATTTTTGGTAGGAATAAACTTCTTTAACTTGATCAAGGACTATCTACCAAAATTCTACAGCATACAAATAATGATGAAACACTGCAAGCAGTGTCCCTAATTTTAAAAACAAGACAAAGATGACACCTATGACCTAAACTACTAAACACTGTACTCAAGGTTCTAAAGAATGCTACAGACAGTATTTCTTCTGTTGTTCCTCCTAACTCCCTCTCCTGCCCCCTACTACTGCCATTCTACTTTTCTGGATCTCCTTTTATAGACAGACATAGATGTTGTAGATCTAACCTGAATATGTCTTTTTCTACAGTATTTTTTATCTTCTTTTTGTCATTTTATAGTTTATTTGAGGAGAAGCCCTCAGGGCTCCATTTTTCAATTCACTAAAATACTCTCCAGTTATGTCTATTTTGCTATTCACATAGTTATTTTAAAACTTTCTGTTTTTAATTTCCAAGTCTCTTATTTGTGTGTGTGGAATAATCTCTTGAGTCTCCTTGAGGGTATTAACTATACTTACTTTAAAGTATTGCTCTATCACCGTTTCCTAAGAATTTAGATCTACTTGTTTGTTAAGTTTGGTGCTTTTCCTTCGTAGTACCAGTTTTCCACAAATATTTGGTGTTCTTCCTTGAATTTAATTTAGCTTGCCTGTTCTATTTACCAGCAGTTTGTCTCTAGTGATAGTAGGAGATGGGAAGAGGAGACTTGGTGCTGCAACGTGGGTATGAGCAGATTAATTTCTGAGTAAGACTCATAAGGGTCAGAGGCTACCAGGGGCACTGCCCTGTCTGTTCTTAGTGCTCATTTTCAATGCTATATTCTGAAGACCAATGAACTTCTGTCTGCAGTTCAGCCCCAATGGAAGAGAAAAGAGGAGCCAATGGTACAGTTAGCTTACAAAACAATGCTGCAACTAACCTCCAATATTGTTCTGGGTCCTTTCCTTCTTGCTCCTTAAGTCGAGCTCCTCTAAGTAGTTCCTACTTCCACAACAGTTATCTTTAATGTGTTTTGGGTTATGATTTCTTCTGATCTTACTTTTTTCCTCTTGTGTATTTACTATTCTGCTATCAAAAGAATTGCTACAAAACTTTGGTCCAAAAATGGCAATCTCACTTAAAAAAAAAAGTTATTTATTTTGAGAGAGAGAGAAGGGGGGGAGGGGCAGGGAGAGAGAAAATCTCAAGCAGGCTCTGTGCTGTCAGGCAGAGCCTGACATGGGGCTTGATCCCATGAATCATGCATTCATGCCCTGAGCCGAAACCACAGAGTCAAGACACTCAACCACCTGAGCCACCCAGGTGCCCGTTACTAACTCATTTCTCTTCAGTTTTCCCTACTCTTTTCATTCTAGTAAGAAGGTTTAGCATAAAAGATGAGATGAAACCATGTGTTCAGTATGCCATATAATTTAATCTCTTTGCTCTCATCAAGTAAGATGTGAAATACAAAGAATGTAAAAATCTATGCAAAGGAAAAAATAACTTTGAGTATCATCTGGCAACATATGCATATAATTATGATGTTAGCCATGATAACTAATCATAATAGGATTATGGATAATAGGACTGACCTCAGATAGTCTCACACTACAATTCTTTTTTTGTAAAGTTTATTTATTTTGAGAGAGAGTGTGAGCAGGGGAGGTGCAGAGAGAGAGGGAGACAGAATCTGGAGCAGGCTCCAGGCTCTGAGCTGTCAGCACAGAGCATGATGTTGGGCTAGAACTCACAAACCATGAGATCATGACCTGAGCCCAAGTTGGACGCTTAACCGACTGAGCCACCCAGGTGCCCCAAAGCTAATCCATTCTTAAGCAGAAAAAAGACTTTCAAGCGTCTTTTGAAAATACAACTGGGCACTGAGAAGAGAATCAGAAAGACAAAAAATACTTTACAACCTTACGTTTCTACAGAAGATCTTATATAACTTCACTCTTATTCTAAAAAGAACAAAAGAAAAGCTGCTCCGTGGATAAACTTTATGTCTTCAGTCAAGAAGGCCTATTGATTGAGAGAGCAAGGTAGACCGGAAAACCTGGATTCTTTTTTTTAATTTTTTTTTTTTTAATTTATTTTTGAGAGAGAGATAGAGACAGCATGAGCAGGGGAGGGTCAGAGAGAGAGGGAGACACAGAATCTGAAGACAGCCTCCAGGCTCTGAGCTAGCTGTCAGCACAGAGCTCGATGTGGGGCTCGAACCCAAGAACTGTGAGATCATGACCTGAGCTGAAGTTGGACACTTAACTGACTGAGCCACCCAGGTACCCCCAGAAACCCGGATTTTAATTACTGGCTCTGTTGGTCCATAAACTAACTAGATTTGTAATTCTACGTTAACCTTTTTTGGTCTTGAGTTTCCTCATTATAATCCACCTCCTATAAGGGACAAGAAGATCTACAAAATTTCTTTGAGCTGTAAAACTCATTCTGATTTTTTAAGACTTAGAAAACAAAACCTGTATGTGGATTACTTGAAAGCAGAGATGAGGAATCCATACCACAAACACCTTAGAATATTCTTATGTATATAGGGGTGACTGGGTGGCTCAGTCGGTTAAGCATCTGACTTCGGCTCAGGTCATGATCTCATGGTTTGTGGGTTCGAGCCCTGCATCAGGTTCTGTGCTGGCAGCTCAAAGCCTGGAGCCCGTTTCAGATTCTGTGTCTCCCTCTTTCTCTGCCTCTCCCCTGCTCATGCTCTGTCTCCCTTTGTCTCAAAAATAAATAAACATTTAAAAAAAAATGTTTTTTAAAAAAAAAAAAGAATATTCTTATGTATATAAAGTTTGAGAACCTTGTCATGACAAGGTAATTACAGGTAATATATTATTTTTCTGGAACGAAAGCTGCTAGAGACTAAGAGGAATACCCTATAAAACTCTTATATTAACAAGCAACAACAATAAAAAGAAAATAATTAGGAAGTAAGAAGTGCTGCTCTACTCATGAAAATTACACTACACAGGACTTAACAGTTCCCATATGGATTTCCAACTGGGCATACTTGCCTTGGCATGTGCAGTTAATCATATTTTTTCCTAGTCAACTGTTGCTGTCAATCATTTACTTAAGAAATTAGTAAACCTACTTTGATTGTAAACCTACTTCTTAGTCTATCTGTGGCAAATCTGCTGAGGGGCTATGATCTATCCCACTTGTCAAGATGCGTTTCCATAATCCTTACATAATTGTGAAAGTCCCCTCAGTCAAACAAGTTTAAGTGTGTGTAGTTCAAAAATATATTCCTATACAACCCAAAAAAGCATATTCCCTAAAACGAATAAAGCTACAGACGTATTTTACATACTACACATATAACATAATGTTTGAATATGCAATAGTAAAAGTTACCAAACTGAAAATTCAAGATACTAGTATTCCTGAAGTTATCCCTAAAGTTTTAAAAGTTAAAAAATCTGATGGATTTGGCATAATTAAAACAGGCATTTGGATTATCAATGAACTGACCATGCATATTAAAAAAGTAATAGTTCATTCATTCAGCATACATTTACTGAGCACCTATGAAAATAAATTAAAAGTAAATAAAGATTAAAGACTGAGTGAGACTTTGTCATCGTCTTCAAGGACGTGACACACAGATAGTAACATAGCAAGCAGGTATTAAAGGCAACAGTGAGGCACAAGGAAGATGCAATCAACTTTATACAAGTATGTAAAGAAGGGTGATGTGTTTAGATACAGTGATGTTTGAGCTGGACTGAAGAATGAGTAAATACTCAGGATGGCATCCGGTCAGAGGAAACAGTATGTACAAACTAAGACAACATAACACATTGAATGTAGATATTTAAAAGATTTCCAAAATGTAAAACAGTGCTACTTTTCCCACTAATTCTTTCTCTGTTTTGGAAAATAAAGTTTTCTTTCTTTCTTTCTTCTTCTTCTTCTTTTTTTTTCCTCTAAACAAAACATCAGGGCACCTGGGTGACTCAGTCGGTTAAGGGTCTGAGGAATCTTGATTGTGGCTCAGGTCATGATCTCAGAGTTCATGAGACTGAGACCTGCAGTGGAGGGCAGCCCGGAGCCTGCTTGGGATTCTCTCTCTTCCTTTCTCTCTGCCCCTCCCCCAGCTCACTCATGCCCTCTATCTCAAAATAAATAAACTATAAAACAACAAAAACAAAATTCCAATTATTATGTTAACATATAAATGTTTTTAAATATGTTTTTAAATGAATACTTCAAAAACTCTAAATTTTAATATCTAGTACAATAGATATAAACTACATAAATAAAAAGTTGTCTTCTAAGAGTGTAAAGGGGTTCTGAAAGCAAAAAAGTCCGAGAAGTGCTCTGGTGCTACAGGTTGATGTTTATCATATGCTGTGGAGCGCAAAAGTTCACACAATGATGTATTCCTGTTTTATTAAAAGCAAATACACTTACATATATGTATAGCTACTAATTTTAATTAGCCAATTCTTTTGGTGGTGGTTATTACAAAAGTTGTTTTTCTTTCCTTCTTT